CTCACTAGGGGCACGTGCATTGTTGCCCATATCAACGACACCCCCAAACATTTGATCCAACATCTTCTCCAACTTAGGATCAAATCAAGTTATTTTAAATTTCTTTGCATCGATGTACAAATTCATAACATCTATTTCGATTTAAAAATAATATGAAATTGACCAAATTAGAGGACATGTCAAAAATGCTTATCGCAAGTCTTTCTGCCGTCCCCATCGAAAGCATCAATGTTTCGTTTCACCGGATCCCACCCTAGGCCCGTTGATCCTTATTTCAATTCCTTCCAAAATTTTCAATAATTCTTGAGTTGGTCTCACTTGTTCTTTAATTGTATTATATCGTACTCTCTGCCTATACTTTTCTTGAATTTTCTGATAATATTTTGTCAACATTTCTTGTTGAAATAAGTTGCATGTTTGTTTCTCAGATCGATCTCCTTAGCCAAATATCACAAAATATTATTTTTATTTCTTTGTCTCATATTGCGGGTGTTTCATTCTCTTTGGTTTTAACAATTGTATTATTATGACAAAAAATCTAGGCGTACCATCCTCTTTGGTATTACTTTTTTTGAAATAGGTTGCATGCCTGTTTCGAACGGATATCCTACACTCGCGATATCAAAAATTGATGCCAACGTTATAATCAAGTTATTAGATTATAGAAGTGATATTACTTACCATAAAGACAATTATATCATAAACAGAGGATCACTATAACACCTTAACTTATACTTTGCATTAAATATTAGGTAATTCTATCAAATGCTTTGTTAGGTTGGTTGAATAGTCAGTGCTACCTCACAACATGCCAAAACTCATCTCCTCTTAGTCTTGTTGGAAGTGGAGGAGGGCCAACACAATTGAGTTCTTACTAAAAAAAATTACAACTATATGCATTTACATATGTTGTGAATTATTAAACTCACTAGACACACCAACAAGATAATAACACTTAAGGTCTAGGTGCATAGAGAGAGGGAGAGAACATTGAAGGTTTAGAGAATGAGGCTAGGCTCATATTATTTCTCCTTTTTGTAACATGACTCATGATATGCATTCACATTTTGGACTTTCATTTATGTACAGTGGTGCATATTCATGCATGAAAATAAAAAAAATATATATATTATAATTAAGTTACCTGATGAAGTTAATATCAAGACAACATGCAACATTGTACCGCCTCATGCCGCTTAAATGATCTTATAATACGTTCAAAAATTGACCGACAAGATAATTTAATGAATTAACATGGTACAAATTGTTTTGAGGCCTAATTAGCCACAAATAGGGCCCAAGTTGGTGTTGGATGCACCTATGTTCCATGGTCGTCATTAGGGCATGAGCCAGTCACCTATGCAACATCTGAAAACGTAACAAGCTATCATATTGGTATTCAAAGGTGTCATAATAATAACATTTATCTCATAACTAAGATTTAAATTTTAAAGATATTGATAAAACCTATTAAAATTTAAGGAACAAAAGTATAAAATAGTAATTAGTATTTAAAAAAAATGGGACGGTTACATATAAACCATTCAAAACATTGATTTTTACAAATCAATCACCCAGGTGATCTTTTTGAACTGCCAAACTAATGTTCTTACGCTCGCCACGATAGAACTATTGAGAATTTGATAAAAATGAAAAACATTGGTCGGGGTTTTACCATAAATTTTGTTATTTGAGCTAAATTTAAAAAAATCGATGAAATATGATGGTTGGTTTGTAAATAGCAAGTTTCGGATGGTCCAAATGTAATTGCCCCTTTTAAGGGTATGCAATTCGCACACGTGTATGGAAAAACGTAATAATTGGGCAAGTTGTTTTTAAATGCTTAAAATTAGCTTAAAAATAGAATTCCTCCGCGGTTATGAATTGAATGCAAGACTCGAAATACGAAGACACGGCGCGAGGAACTGCGGCATTATCGTTCGAGGAAGATTTTTGAGGTTGGATTTTGTCTGCATTTGTTGAATGTTGGTCGTAGAGTTTTATTTTATTGTTTCGATTATAAGATTTTAATGATTGATGATATTTTTTTTTTTTGAAATTTTACTCGATTCGTCGTAAACTTTAGTTTTCTCGTGTCGATTTGTGGGGTTTCAAAAACCAAATACATAAATAATTAAATAAATCCAACGCTCAATTTAATCTAATTTTTTTCGTGTTTTATCTTTCTCTTCCCTCATTTCCTCATTTCAACAACGTAGATCCAAATCTAGTAAATCTAATTGCAAGCCGAATTTATTCCACCGTCTCTTCCTTGGCAGAATCGGGCCGATAAATCCAAATTTGTCGGATTTGATAAATTCTATTTAACACAAAGCCAAAGTTGCCGCCAAACACCGTCTTAGAGCTTCAATGATTCATGATAATTTTGGTGAAATTATGTTGGTTTCATCACAGTAGTTTGTTTTGATTCGTAGAGTTTCGAGCATAGACGATAATTTTGGTAAAATTCTGTTGATTTCTTGTTGTATTTGTCGGAATCATGTTATTGATTGATGATTAAAGCTCTGATTGCTTGATTTTTCTTATAAATATGGCTCTTATTTTCTTGTGATAGACAGTGATTGCAGTATGTTCCCTGATATCTTCATGGCTGAGAGGAGGATTCAGAAGGACTTGAAGGACTTGGCAACATCAGGCAGCTATGGTTTGTTTTTCATTGCTTAATTCTTCTGTATTTTCTATTATTTCTTTTTTAACCTTTACTTGCTACAGTTGATGTAAAATACACAATTTTTTTTGTAAATAAATCATGTAAATCCCTAATTAGTAAATCTCGGAA